CCCCAAAACCCCAAAACCCCAAAACCCCTTCTAGCTCAGAAGTAGTTGGAAATATAAAATTGATATTAAAATGGCATCTTAATTTCAACTCTTTTCTTTGTTCCACCTACTACAAACTTAGGTGCAGAGTTATTATTCTTATTATTCTTGGTCTTATATTCATTTGCAACCTTAGTTTCTATTAAAATATTATACTAGTCATTTACCTTTACCATTCTTGCTAAAGTTATTATCTTTCTTATATTTCTCAAATTTCGCTATAGATATAGATTCTCAATCTCTAGAGAGCCATAACTTACTGAATAGATGAGTCGGAGTTCTCATATTTACAAGCGGCTTCTTATAGCTCCTCTTCGGTTGCACAAAAGTGAGGATGTTTGAGGTATCGAAGACCTCTAAGTAGATTAGGCATAATCTAGAGCAAGACTTACTTTTGATGACATATGTCTCTTCAGCACCAATGTTATTCTTCATAGAAGTATTTTCTGGAAAACTAGATTGGCTATTTTCTGTTATTTGCTAAAGTATAAATTGAGTAATACACTTTAGAGCAGGAACAGATGGGAGAACTCAATACTTTGAATTATTTCGACTCGTAATCCCTATTTGATGGTTTTGAACAACAGAGATTAATTGACATTTTGAGGTTGAATTCTTGACACTATTTGGTGCAGGATTTTTATTCTTCAAAGAACTTTCAAAATTTCTCTTTTTGAGATTCTTTTCAGCATTGTTGATAATTATATCGACTGACTTCTTTTTCTGAAGAATATCTCTAATAATATAAAACATTGGTCTTACTTAATATCAGAATTCTGTGTTCCAGTAGTTCTTAAAAGAGAATTCCTTCCAACTACTTCGCAAGGATCACTAAATCTCAGACCAAAAGTTACTTATCAAAGAACTTGGAAACTGCGTCGTTCGTAGAAATTAGGATTTTAGGAACCAAATCATTAGTACCTGATTTTCTTGCTTCAATTCTGATATTTTTAAGTTTCTTTGAGCTTTTATTTTGTCATCCTCTGTTCGAGTTTTCTATCACTGATTAGAATGAGTTATTTTACTTAAACTGCTATCATTGAGATTTAGATCTCTTTTCAGTTGAGATATCAACAATGCAATATTATCAGATTGCTTGAATTTCTGGTTCAAATTGTTTGACTGTAATTTTGAGTGAGATGGACTCTTTGTTGGCTTCTCCAAAGTATCATCAATTAAAAATCTGGAACCTAGTTTATAATTAACAGTTGATCTCTTGATACTATTGCTCCCTCTAGCTTTAAAATCTGCTATTCTTTGGACAGACAGCTTATTTTAACTTCTTTAGTTTCCTAAAAGACATCTCTGTGATAAAGTCAGGATCGAACACGAGTTTGTTATTGCTCATTAGTGTGGGAGAAGCATGGCCGTTGATTTTTGGTCCTAGAGCTGTATTATTAAATTACTTCTAATCTTTTGCCTCAGAATTTTATTAAGTTTGGTTTTTCTCTTCTCCTGCACTTTTACCTTTCCTTAAAAGTTAGCACGCATTTACTATTTTTGAGAAACTGTAATATTTGTGTTTGGAAGAGGGTCAAATTGCATAAATTTAACTGATTTTTCTCTTGAAATCACTATAAGATTGATTAAATTTTATGAAAAATTCATACTTACAGTTTTGTATGCTTCCTAATTGAAACAGACCCTGGATGTTGGTTTTTCCCTCTTTACCTGATTCGACGCTTGTGTTAGTCCCGTAAGCACTAAAATTTACTGAAAATTCTTACCTATCGTATACTGTTCCGTTGGTAACAGGGATAACACCTGAGGTCTAAAGGGTCACAACCATCCATGATTTTTCAATACTCACATTTTGTTTCAGAGGTTTATTCTTAATAACTTTGAAAACTGATCTTTTTGAAGAGTTGTCTCTCTTAAGCTCTATACAAATACCATCACTTCTATCCAGAGGACTCCTTACGATGTGCTGAATGGCTAGCTTTATTATCCTGATTAGCTCAACTACTATCCATATTCTATGACAGATATATTCTATTATAACCTACATTTGGGGTTTTGGGGTTTTGGGGTTTTGGGG